AGACTATTATTTTCTCAGTAACCAGCTGCATTGCCCCCTGCTGCTCTGATGTGTGTGTTTGAATAAGAGCTTCTCCCATCACAATCCCACAGCTGCTATTAGCCTGATCCAGCAGTGATTCCATGGGGCCTGACTCTTCTCTCCCTTACTCTCTGTTCATATCACTGGGGTTAAAGGTAGAAGAAACCAAGCAAGTGAGAACTGAATCAGGCCCTTCATCCTGTATCTATGACACCCCAGTCCATTGCCCTGAAAATGACTGCCATGTCACTGTCTCTGTATTATGATTTCAACAACGCATGACTCAGGAGGACTGGGAGAGAGGAATCCCTTTATTTTACAGCAATTATCTTTGATAACATGTCAAAAGTGCCAGGGAAAATTATGAAACAGATGTGAAAGGCAAATGAGTCCTTGTCTGAGTCTTTGGAAGTTTTCCCCAGTGTGAAAAAAGGCTCCTGAAGTTTATTCATATAAAAGCCACCTTATTAAAGAGTCTCATGGACAACTTTGAAGAACGTTCTATATACAGATAAACGTACTTCCATAACAGGGATTTTCCGTGTTTCTTTTGATAATGATAATGATCTTACATTTCAGTGCTGCCTTTTATCCCAGAAGATCCTAATGAGCTTTACAAACTAACGTGCAAACTACACATAGGGATCAATTCATGCAACTATGATATGTAGCCACAGCTGGGGTGGTATGTGGCAGTTATTTTAACAGCATATAGCAATGCTGTATAGAAGGTTAACCCAGGAAATGAAGAAGTTTGTTTTTAAGGTTATTCTACTGAAAATGCATGTGGTATTTTAGGAAAACACAATTCTCCAACTTGAATATGGACAGGACAGTGGCGTTAATGACCCTACACTGGACATTTTAATAATATTTTAGAGGATTTTAATAATATTATTGAGATCAGTGCTAGAGCTGGTCAGGAATTTTTTGATGAAACATTTTTTTAAAGACAGTTCGTTGTAAATGACAGCTTGTTGTGGGAATGAGTTGTTTTTGACAAATATGATTAAAAAATGTTTTGTGAATTGGTTTTGAATCTATAGAAATGTCCCATTTTGATATTTTCTAAATAAAAAGTTTCATTTTCTGGCTTAAATGACATTCCATTTTGAAATTTTAGTTGATTTTACATATTTTAAAACTCTTCTTAAATATAAATGTCCACATTATAACTAAATGTTACAAAATGAAATGTTTCTATTGAGATTATCTGACTTAGGGGATAGTCAATTCACAAACACGTTCAAGATTTCGAATATTTATTCTGATTTGCAATGGGATTAAAAAAATAAAAATAAAACTTTCTTGAGATGAGAGGACAATTTCCAGGATAAGACATTTCTAGCACCCCCTGGCTGCGTCTAGACTGGCATGATTTTGCAGAAATACTTTTAACGGAAAAGTTTTTCCGTTAAAAGTATTTCTGCAAAAGCGCATCTAGATTGGCACAGATGCTTTTGCACAAAAAGTGCTTTTGCGCAAAAGCATCCGTGACCAGTCTAGACGCGATTTTGCGCAAGAAAGCCCTGATCGCCATTTTAGCCATCGGGGCTTTTTTGCGCAAAACACTTCTTCCCTGTCTACACTGGCCCTCTTGCGCTAGTATTCTTGCGCAAGAGGGCTTTTTCCTGAGCGGGAGTGTGAAAGTATTTGCGCAAGAAGCACTGATTTTATACATTACAAAGTCAGTGCTTTTATACAAATTCATGTGGCCAGTGTAGATTGCAGGCAAGTTTTTGCTCAAAAGCGGCCGTTTTTGCGCAAAATCTTGCCAGTCTAGACACACCCCCTGTGTCTATGAGGGGCAGCATTTAGTTGAGAATACAATTTTTGTTCTTTTGGAATCTCCACTATTCTTGTTGCTTATTCCCAATTTGAAGTCACTGGAGCATACATAGTCTTGGCACAAATTTTGCAGCTCCAGGTATGGTCCCTGGCACTGCAGTTAATGGGCGCTTTGCCCTGTTATGTCAGGGCTGAATCTGTCCTGTCATCTTCCATCTGTGATGTTATAATCATCTTCAGGGTAAACAAGCATGAAGTCACAAGCAGAGAAGTCTGACTTTAGGTTGGGTAATAAAGACCAGGGGCTAGTGGAATCCTAATGCCATTGGATTAATTTTCTTGCATATACTAAATAATGATAAAAAAGGGAAAGACACAGAAATAGCTGAACGATGGAAGCAGAGGAGGTTTTCCAAGTTGTAGGTGAGGGATCATCAGCTCTATGAGGGCCTCTGAGAGGCCATCCAGTTGTGCAGGCCCAATGCTACATGTGCAGGTGTAAAATGGGAGACTGAGCTCACATACACATTGTGGCACATGCACACTGATGCACAAGTAGTTCAATAGCCTCATTGCAAGAGCTGGCTGTAGTTTGAATTGAAAGCACAGTAGTTCTAGCTTTTTGTCCTCCTCTTCAAATCTCTTCATAGCTTTGTTCATTTTTATCTGTCATCTCCCAGCTCCTCTGATCTATCTATGAGGCCAGTCTTGTCGGCTTCTCTCGCAAGTATCTGTGTGTCTTATTCTGTGCACTCTGTGCCCCTGGGAAACATTCAGGCGCTACCTTCTTTTCTGTGACATCCATTCTCAAGATTCACTTCTATTGTGAAGCCTACTGGAAACCACGCACTGATAATAGCCAGGTAGATGGCCGATATGGACAGATGGTGTTTAGATTTTAAATACATCAAACCTTTACATGATTTGTAACCACCAAGTTGTGCACATACCTGGACTATGTAAATACATGTTCTCAGTCAGTGAAAATGGAAAAAGCTACTTTTGAGGGCAATATGAGTTAGATTTAGCGTACAACACAGATTTCCCAGTCCTGTTTTAAAGCGTCTTCCTTTAAATACAGGAAGTAGTGCCACCTCCCTAGTATTATAATCTACTTGTTAAACAGCCCACATATGATTCGTGCTGTATAAACGAAGGCTATCGATGATCCGTGTCCCAATAAACTTGCAATGTGCAAGGTACTTTCCCTTCTCCATCCAAGAGCAGATGGATGAAATTGCATGTGAATTTTTAAAAATAAGTGAATTACTTACCAAGGTAGCACCAATGTTTCCGCAACATTTGGGCCAGTCCTTTTAGTTTCATTTCAAACCAGTGGGAAGTCAAAGGAAATACAAATCCTCTTCCATTATTACCTCTTCACATTGCTTGAGTCTTGGCCATAACCACACTGCACAGGCTTCTGCAGTACTAGGAGTCAAGGGCTGATACAACAGACTTCTCACATGACAACCAAGAACCACATTCATTTTGAGGGAACAACAATGACCCACTTGGTTACTCCGATCTGAAGCTCATCTGCTCATGGGTAAGACATCCCAATTCCTCATGTTTCTCCTTCATCTGAAGTGGCTGTGCAGGCATCTCATCATTTCCTATGTTTATAGCAGTAAAACTGTAATATGCTTCAGTCCTCAAAGACCTTCAGATGAAAGACTAATGGACCTCCAGGTTAGCCGTTGCATAAATCAGCTGATTAGCCAAGTTCTTCTGGCAAGGAATTCAGATCTATAAAGTAGACAAGGCTTTGAAGTATTCAGGGATCATGTCATGTCTTCATACCTGGAATTACTGAGGATCCCAGATGTATGGAGCTCCTTACCTGGAGAAAATAGTTCAAATTCCTCCCTTTTAGGGCTCCAGCTTGTATGTGCCTCTCACTTCCCACTCGGAGCCATTTGGTATCAGTATTGTATTTGCAATACATTGCAAGAGGAACACAGGGACATCCGGAACCAACTGTTGGCAAAACATTAATAATCATTATCAAAAGCACTAGAACATTTTTGCTCACTTGGTGTCAATTTCCCAGCCACAGGAATAGGGCTAGTCTGTAATCTGAATGTATTCATTTGTTTGCATGGCTGAAATAGTGAACGCTGCTAAAACGCTGACATGAATGACAGTATTGGCAAGCTGCACTAATGCCAATATTAATTTGAAGTTGAGATGGACCAAAATCTAGGTCTCACTTTATGGGGGGAAGCTGAGAGCCATAGCCAGATACAAACTGTATAGGTTGGTCTCAGGTCTGCTCTGACTGTGATTTTTCTGGCTGAAGTTATGAATGATAGTCTGGAATCACTGGCTTGTGGGTGTCTGAAATACTGGCCTATTCTCTCATTTCACAAGGCTTTTATTTAAGGGCCAAAGGCTTGATCACCCAAATACCCTAGATGCACAAGGCCTGAAATGCAACAGGAGTAAAGTGGCCTATTTGAAAGGCATGTGACAAGCTGTGGAGAGGCTGCACGAGAAGACTTTGAACAAAGAGAATTTGGGAGCAGAGAGATGGAGGAGTAAAGTATTTTTCATCATTGTTTTATTAATATTTGTGCAAGCAAAAGTTTTTTGGCTAGATTTTCCAGGAAGGAAAAATGCTGCAAACACTCATGTGAATGTTTACTTGCAGTTGAGCATCTTGAGCAACTTTTCTTTTGCTTTGTATAAGCTGCAGCCAACATCTGTGAAGGGCCCTGAGTGTGGAATATATTTGATTCATTCTGAATAATGGACAAATGCATAAAATTCAAAGTCTGTTTGCAAATAATTTAGGTATAGTATAAAGAACAGTATTTGCTGAATGAAGATATATTTTTGGAATATATGTATAATAGTTTATGTTGAAATTTCTGTCTAATTAGGGCTTGGTGACCAGAAAACTTATTGAGGTAAAATTCCCAATGACTTCAAGAGACTGTAAAATTTAGCCTTCAATGATCAGTCCTGTGAGTGACTTCCTTCATATGCACAAATCCCCAAGGACACTGTCGGTATACAAGAAATAATAATGATCACTTCTACTCTCTGGTTGTTTCTCCCAGGATAGTGGATGTTGTTATGTTTAGGTTTCAGGCATTGCAGGGAAAGCTTGACTGCCCCAAAAACGTTTTCACTGAAAATTAACAAACAAATCAATCAGGAAACATTTCTATTTGCATGATTTTATTCTTTGATCCTTTTTTCACCATATCTAAAATCTGGAGCCAGGGAAGTGTTCCTTGAAGTTAAAGCTGTCTGACACCAGAAGCTGTGCATATGGTTGATATCCAGTTGAAGTGATGGATATACTAGAGGTGACTGCAGCTGAGAGGTAAGCCCTTTCCTTTACTGCTAAAACACAAGATGGGGTATGTCTGTGGCAGGTTAAATGTCCAGTTAGATTCTCACACTTCATTGCTGATGGCTGTTTTTGTTGTTTTGATACCATGCCACATGAATGAGAGCCAGCAGGATCCAGGAGCTCTTCTTTCCTGGGCAGGCAAGCTGGCCTGGTCTGCATCAAGGTTTGTTTTTGGGGTTCACTAATTCAGGAAAATCTGGTCACGAACTGGCAGGCAAACCTTGTTACCTCTGAGATAATCGGTAATCCCTTTAAAACCTGAGGGGTGGGACACACAAAGAAAAAGCAGAATGGAGCAGAAGAGATAGTTTAATCTCCCATCTAATTACAAGGCAGAGCAAATTGCATGACATACTTAATGCCTTATATAGAAAAATAATTAATAATCAAGTAGGAAGCTGCTGCCTGGCTAGTCTGATAATGCAGTGTGGGAGTCAGGCACTCCACTTCAGCACCTGGATTCATGAAAAAGCAGGAGACTGTCCAAGCCATTGGGTAAGCCATATACTTAACATGTTAAGTCTGTTCAACATCACTGCTAAGTTAGCCAGTCTAAAAACACACACAGAGTACAGCCTAATCCTTCTACTTTGCCCTGCACTAGATAGGAGCTGCATTTCCCTAGTTCTGCTCCATCTCAGTTTGGATCTCCTGCTAGGCTATATCAGTAAAATGGCAGCTCCCATTGAGAGAGGCCAGAGCACCATTCATAGCTGTGGAGACGGAGAAAGTGACCACAACCAGTGTTTCTAAAAGCTGTTTTGTTCCAATTTAGTGTGTGGTAAGATAGACGCCTTTTCTTATTTAGTAACTATTTATCTGAGTGAAGTTTTATAACTAATCGCAGCAGCTTCCCTATAATAATTAGCTTCCTCTGGCCTGCTCACATAATGGGTTTCAGCTTCACTGAGACCAGCTATCTTCCAATTTAAGAGGTGGTTAGTGGTTAACATCTCATGAGCTCATGGCATTTTATCTTCTCCTTCTAACTTCCTTTAGGCCAAATTGTTACTGCTGCTACAGAGCCTCCCTCTCCTGCCCTGGGATGTACCTGGCATTCTGGCTCTGGAGCTTCTCTCCTTTCTCCTGTTTGTAAAAGGGTAATGACTGGAGTTTCTAGATTCTTTTTGAGTGCCTGCTTAGTGGCTCTCACATTAGCTTGGTCCAATTAACATTATTTTGCACCAGGCTGGAACAAGATAGTTAAAGGGGAATAACAACAGGAGCCAAGTGGCTTTGATTAGTAGGCTGTGAACAGGCTTCCAGGGACTTTCCATGGACAATTGGTGAAACTTTTTGAAAAATATTCTAATGCCTTGAATTTCCACCTTTGCAAATGCTCCAGTAGTGAAAAACATTGAAAGGGCCAGAAACAGTTCACAGCTTGCCCAGCACTGGCCAAATGTCAGACTCAATTGTGGATCATGTGCTGCTAACACATGCTTTATCCTTGGCCTCTTTGTACCTGGGGTGTGAAGTATGGAGCGCAGGGCCACCTTCAAGCCAAGCAGAATCTTGCAAACCACCCACCATTATAGTGTCATGCGCACCCCTTCCCCAGAGACCTCCCTATAGCCTGCAGATGGGGACAAGTGGAGACAGTTTGCAGGAAGGGGGAGATGTGCACCATCTAGGGTTGCCAGGTGGTTTAACCAAAAATACCAAACACCCTCCCCTCTCCAAAAAAAACCCACCAGGGGAAAAATTCTGTTGAGGAAAAAAAACGGGGGAGACCAAAGTTGTTGAGAAAAAAACCAGCATGGCCTGTTTAAGAAATTCTTTTGAGGCTTTTTGGCCCTAACAGGCTGCTGGCAGCTATCTGCCATCTTGTCTTCTTGCTCCGGGCCGGACAGCTGCCCTGTGGAACCTGGTAAGCACCTGGGATTTTCATAGGCCGGACAGCTGCCCTGCGGAACCTGGTGAGCACCTGGGATTTTCATCTCCTGGCCAGGAAAAAATCAGAAAATACTGGACATTTTAGGTGTCCGGTATTTTCTGCATTTTTTTTTTACCGGACAGGAGGTGAAACTACCGGACTATCTCGATCAATACTGGATTCCTGGCAACCCTAGCTGCTCCACTTTGTACTTCTGTGCCGCCTTCTCCTGGCCCTTTGAGTGCAGCTTCTCAGTGGTGGTGGGAAGCAGAACACCCCAGCCCCGGGGTCCTTTTCTTTCCACTGCCACAGAGAAGCAAGGCACAGCAAGCCAGGAGGGCAGCGCAGCAGGCTGCTGGGTTGCTCCAGTTCCCACCACCCACATGGTAAGTGTGTGTGGGAGAGACCTCTGCTGCACCAGGCCCACTAGTAAGACTCAGGGGTGTGTTGCTAGGGGAGGGGCTGGGGCTACAGGAAGAGGTGGAGCAGGGGCAGGGTGGGGCCTACAGTGGGGGGAGGGGGTTTGCTCCATGCCTGGGGTACTGAGGGGGTTGCCCAAGATCCCACCCTCTCCTTGGGATGGTTCTGGGTACATGTTCTCCCTGTGGAACAATTTGTTGGAAACTTTATAGGGGAACTTAGTGATACTCTATGTGAGGGGCCAAGCAGGCCCCATGTTATTAAGACTTGCCACTAAGAGTTGGTACAAAAAGCAGCATGAGCCAAATCTTCCTTTTCTTTTCTCATGCTACTGTTACTGTTGGCCATAAAAGGAGCAGGACAGTGGTAGGGATGTTAATGCATGCAGGGAGAATAGCTTGGTGAGAAAGGTATGTATGGTTTGGCTCTATTTAAATTAAAGAGAATCTGCAGCATGGAATGTCCACATAGGGTATGTGAGTGGGATCCTACAAGGGCCCATGCCAGCCTCACAAGGCCTTTGGCTTGTATTGAGCAGCCTGGGATGCCTCTTGATCATGATAGTACCTGGAGAACAAGTCTCTACAGAACTGACGTTGCTGTGTGCTGTGGAAAAACCCTCTGCTTGCTGCTCCTGGAGGCTCAGCATTGTGCAATGGGTTCTCCCTTGCCAAGAGACTCTGGACTGTAAAGCTGATACTGTAATTATTGCATGATTGTGTGGCAGCATCTTGGAATGCAGATTCAGGATATAGGAACCAACACCCCTCCCGCCCCCGTGTCTCCAAGGAGACCGATGGAAATAGCAGGCCTGTACAGAATGGCTGCATCCCCCAGGGACTGGGATGGCCCTCCATCGGGAGAGGTTGTTCTAGGACGAGGCGGAAGGGCAGAGCTCTGTGCCTGCAGGAAGGGACGTGGCCTGGTAAAGGGCAGCATCCCCTCAGGGACAGCGGCTGCTTGCTCTGTGGCACAGCAACCACAGCAGGAAGAGTGAGGGGGGGAAGGGGTTTGTAATGGGGTGAGCCTGCTGGAAAATACAGGTTAGCTGCAAAGAGCCAGCCACAGAATGCCTGGAGGCAGAAGGAACAATGGCTCTCTGGGATCAACCATGCACAAGTAATAACAAGAATAATGTAAATACTAATGCCAGCATTTACAAAGTGCTTCTCCCCTGGCTGAAGCATTCCCAGCGCCACACAGTAAAAATATACAGATCTTGCATGCTGGTCATTGTCAAATCCTCCCCAAGCAATGACTCATTCATACTCTCAGCTCCCCGGGGAGGCAGGTGGATGGTAGCACCCCCTTTTGCAGGCTGAGAGGAAGTGAGTGGCCCACAGGGAGTCAGTGAATGAGAGGGGAGAGGACACCAGGAGAGCCTGGTCCCCAGTCCAGCACTCAGGCAGTATCACTAAACAACATTCACTCAGTATCAGAATGATGACAGAAAGAGCAAACCAAATGCTGTAGATCCCAGAAAAAGCAAGATCATTCCATGGGACATACAGGACTGGCAGATCTATTGCATGTGATGTATATGGGCACCAGGAGAGCATGGGTGTGAAATCCAGAGTAGCAGAAGATGTAAAACAGAACTGTGAAAAACCTTCCTTCCCAATGCTTGAGGATTTCCAAATGTCATGTGGGGAATCTAGGCTCCTTTCCTGCTTGAGGAATGTCTGTAGGCATAGCCCAGGGCTGCCAGTTGATTCACTGTTCAAGTTTAGTCCCTGGAGGTTTTCTCCATAATATCCCCTTGCCTGCCACTATGCCCTGCTCAACAAACTGATCGTGAGCAGTTTGTGGAGTCTAGTCACTCTTCTAAATGACAGCTGAGCTGCTTAGTTCTGATTGGTCTCAAGTGCCACATAGTATGGCTTCTGTTCCTTGATTGGCTGAGTACAATCAGGAGAAGCTCCTGAGGATTTCAGTACCCTTGGGAGATGGAACAGAATTCTGGGGTTTTAGAACTTTTGGGAATGTTTCCTTTCTAGGTCCTAAAGGCCTGGTCCACAGCATCTTTCCTAGCTTCATTAGACAACTGTCAAGTTTATTGGCTGAGTGCTAAGTTTGCATTTAATTTTCTTTCATCACAGTCACACAATGTAACTTCATGCATGTGCCTGGTTCTAGATGTAAAAGATCTGGGAGGACGTCTGTCTGGCTCACTTAGTGATCTATTTAAAATTGACTTTTTATGAATATTCATGCAGATGACAAAGAGAAGGGATGTTTGAGGAAAGGTGTTTATGGGGGGGAGGGGAGACATTGGAATAGGCCTCAAGGCATCTGAGTTCAGTTCCCAGTTCTGCCACAGATTTTCCACGATACCTTGGGCAAATCCCTCAATCTCCCTGAGCCCTCAATTCCCAAGCTATAAAATAGGTATAATAATAAATCCTTTATCCTCACTTTGGTGTTTTCACATTGGGCAGGGATTATCTTTTACTGTGTGCAAATACAGTGACTACTAGAATGAGGTCCTGGAGTTCATGCTGGAAGTTCTAATATAATATAAATAATAACAATAGGTGAGTTTGCAATTCACTTTTTGTACCAGCTTTTGTGTTAGTAAAACTCATCTGTGGCAAATGTTTGGTGATCCCCACCTGGTGTAAAGGGAACATCCAGCAAGTGAAAATCACGTTACAAGCAAATGCAAATGAGACTCCTTAATTGATGTGTCATGGTTCAGGGCAAATGCATTTGTACTAGTCCAACAAGAGCACCCAGTCTAGGTACTAGGTTTCCTGACCATTGGTCATTGCCTTTCTTGGTTGGAGAAACACATCTTTCTCCCTTCTGACTGGTATGTCCAAGGTGAATCATTCCATGCCTGTCCCGTGACCTCCCCAGCAAAAAACACGTTGCCTAAGCAGGCTTCTTTTGTTTTCTTTTCCGAGACAGTTAATAGTATAATACCTCAGTTACTCTTCCACGCGGAGCAGTCTAAGCAAGC